GTACCGTATAGATGAGATGCGGGTTGCCCAGCGCTTTGAATGTGACCACCAAGGTCTCTTTCGCGCAGCCCCAGGATGTACCCGCAAGAGCCTTTAGGGCCTTGGTGCAGCGGCTTACTTTGCTCGTGACCTCCCTCGCATGGTCTGCGAACTTAAAGAGAGGATCGAAACGGACCAGCGGAACATGCTGTATACATTATAGGCAAAATTAATAAATTGACGGATATGAGGTATAATGAATGAACACCTCACAATTATAAAAAATCTCATAATTAGACTACACGATAATCAGTCTTAGTAACTTACTCATTGCCGATTAGCGAAAGGGTATCAATTATTCGCATATGTCGGCGCGTTACACACGTTCTACGCCGTACTGTATACCGGTGACGGGTGAATTGCTAATTGTTCTGCATGTTTTGGAAACAATTAGAGCATTAGTATGAGTAATACACGCCCAGGACCTTGACAACTGCAATCAGGATGATCTAATAGGCGTCAACTCAGACACGTTCTTGGCGCGAATGTATAAGTCAAAAGAGACCAAGCACGCTGTTTTGGAAAACATCACCACTGAAATCTACGAGGCTAAGTAGAGCTGGCGAAACTTTAACAGGATATGTTGACAACTAGGCTACGAAACCAAAACATTTGGCGGAATTAAAAGGAGCCATCTGCCATGTGTATCTTCAACTGTTCCAATTACGCGTCAACATTAGGATGAAACATGTCAAAGGTAATGTGAATTTAAACTAAGGCTTTCCTTGCTTATAATTTCAGGGAAAACGGGAAAGAGGTTAGATGCAGAACGGTAAATACTGAGTTGAAAACGCTGATGGGAGAGAACTATGTGCATTCAGGTGAAACAAATTCGAAAATATGATTGCGGGCTAAGACCGAAAGGGGGAAAAACCAGCGACCTTGTGAGATACCATAGTCGGCCTTAGGAAGGGGGAAACGCGAATAAATTCAGGTGCATGAAAGAGCAAGTTGGGCCTGAGAACTGTGTTGAGACGAGAGAAAGAGAGACAGGGAGAGAGAGAGATACGACTTATTTTAAAAATGTCATTCCATACATTTCAGCAAAAATATCCTCCATTCACTATGAATAATCTAAGGCACCGAAGCAACACAATACCGAGGAATAAAAAGCAATTGAAGAAGTCAAGATAGGCGAACGAACGTTTTCGATTAATTCATCATCAGGGGGACACTCCCCCTCCTCCCCCCTGCCCCCTTTGATCTCTCTCTTAACAGTTCCCCTCCCCCCTTGAATAACGTTGATTGGTTGCTTAAACCTTTACTAACTCTACCCCTTTATATTATTGTACACGCCTGATGATGAATTAGTCGAAAACGTTCGTTCGCCTATCTTGACTTCTTGAATGCCTAAATGGGTATCATCGCTGAACTTAAAAAAGCAATTGGTAGTACCCAACTACTGCAATTGTCCACGTCTTGAAGAAACTGGACCAAACTGGACTTCTTCAAATCGCCGCTTGGGTCGTGCGCTGATGACCTCATTGTTTTAGTTCAAATGAACAATAAGGGGAAGAGAATTGGGTCCAACTGGACGTACTGGGCCAACCCCTGTACATATAGAAGAACATTTACACGCGAATTGGGGGGGAGAAAAAAGGCGGCTCAGTTTCAAAAGTCCACGAATGCCGGTGATAAAGTGCTGCGTCAAGGAAGGTTGCTGTTTGTACTATTGGAGTAGGCAGGGCACGAGAATAGGACCCCCTCCCATACCCTCCAATTCTAAAGGTAGCCTTGTGATAACTTCCAGAGAGACCAGATTTAGTACA